ACTGGCGTCAAAGGCTGGCGTCTGCTTTCCGGCAAGCTGGGTTGGACTAAGAGGCTTAACTTGATTACGGGGTGAACTCACTCGCTGGGTCAGCCAGGGGCCCTGAATCACTTGCCTGAGGACGGGGTTGGGTTCACACAGCCCACGTGCCAGTCCACAGCAAAGAGGAAGAGAGGGGGGAGCAAGGCCTTTGGCTGGGGGTTAAGATGCAGTGGGAACACAGCCCTTCTCCTCCTCCCCACCCCACCTTCCCCCCAAAAGTTTGGGTTCTATCATGCCTACACGGGACCCAGCTGCCTTGGAGAGGCACCGTTTCGGCTGGAGACAAAGCCATGCGCACAGCCCGCATTTCCTGACCTCCATGTGCTGCCCTCTGGGGAGCTTGGAAGGCAGCCCCCAATGTCCCCTGCCATGCTGGATGGGGGATGGAACTCCACAGCCTTAAAACACTGGGGGGGAGCACCTGCACAAAAGCAGGTGCCCAGTCTGGATTACCCCGTTTCGGCGAGAAGCAAATTGCTTGCGTCCCCCAAATCTTCTCCGCGCAACTTCAGGCTGCCACTCACCGCGTACTGGAATTTCTCATTGTATTCTCGAGCGTTTGCCTTCACTCGCCTTTCCTCCTCTGAAAGGGAACCCCAGTCCGGATTAGCCACGCAGAATCGCCAAAACTGCAGTTACCTTTCCCCTTTAATCTGGGTTCGATACATCTCGGTTGAGTTGGACGCACGGGGGGCGGATTTGAGACCCCTCGGGGCCGAGCCAGACGGGGGGGCCGCGCTCAATCCTTGGCTGCAACTTTGCTCGTCTGTCCCTAGCTTGGCAATGCCCCCCCACCCCAAAATAAAAGACAAATGAAAGGAGGACAAGAAGAGAACCCGTTCCGGATTCTGCAACGGGCAGGGTCCCTCTGCCCTGGCCGCTGGGCACAAGGTCCCTTTTAGAAAGGCGAAATGAAAGGGGAGGGGGTTTGCTCTGGGTGAAAAAGCAGGGCTATCTCCCCCCTCCACAAAAGAAAAAAAATGCAAAGAAACTTGGGGGGGGAGCCGGTGGAAGATGAGGTAATGTTCCAAGATTGCCGCAGGAAGAAGATAATCTTCGGAGAGACCGTCACAGGACAAAGGTAGGACAGCGGCCGTTGCTCGGAGAATCCCCTCGTTTTCTACGACTCCCCTCTCCAATCTGCCCTAAGGCTCCCCCCGTACCTGTCCCCCAAGGCGGCTGGCCGCGGACATCGGTTGTCGCCACGGCGACCCACGGCCATTTCTCAGGCATCTCCTTGGGGATCGTCATGGTTACGGGGAGCCGGGGATCGCCCGTACGGGGATGGTGGGCGACGAAGCTATCCCGGACGCCAAGAGAGCCCCCCTTCTCTCCTCCCTTCGGCCCCCCCCCTCCACTTGCTGCAGAAGATAAAGTCTACCCTGACATTGAAGGGGGGGCGCCACCCACTGCCGCACAGCAGCCAATCCGGGGCAGGGATGGCGTCACCAAGACGACCGCTTGATGGGGAGGGGAGGGGGGTCTTTGTGGGTTGTTTCCCCTTTCCGGACTCTCCCCCCCAGGCCAAGGATGGGGCGCTGCAGTTCAGGCACAGGCAACCCTGCTCTCCCGTTCGTGCCGATGAAACACCCCCCCAAAATCAGCTTAAAAAGCCCTTTCCGCTCCTAAAGGATCTGTTCATCCTTTCCTTCCTCATCCGCTTCAGGACCCCCTGCCTGCCCTCTCTCCAGATCAGCAGGGGCGTTACTGCAAGGGAGGAGTAGGCGGCGCTCGAGTCAAGGCACCGAGGCTGGCGAGGCTTTGCAACAGCCCTGCGAGGTAGATCAAGGCCGCCGAGTCCCCGAGGAAGAAGGGAGAAAACCCAAAGGGGCCCTAACAGCAAGGGACCTGGAGCACAGGAGCAAGGGCCAGTTCAAAAGCTGGCCACCCTGCTTTTGCACAGAGATTGCACCTCAGGGGCCTCCGATTCCCCTCACACCCAGAACTCGGTAGCTAAGCAAGGTCTACCTTAACCTTGTTTCCTTCCAGATAGAGAACTGGGGCGTAGAAGTCTTACCTGCGGGGTGTTTCTGAGCACAAAATTCCATGGCATTTGCTGGTCGGCAGTCAGGCCCATAGGAGACGCTGTGTTTAGAAAGAGAGAGAAGAGCAAGGGCTGCAGGTGAAGGAGGGAAAACCAACCAGCCTGCTAAACCTGGTTATTAAACTTAGCCTGTCCTCCGATTTTCACAATTCATCCACTCAGAAACTCACCAGGCAGGCTGGATTCCCAGAACATGTGGATACTATTACTAGTAGGTAGTTGTAGTAGTAGTAGTAACAACAACAACAACAACAACAACAATAATAATACTATTATCCCAGGTCTTTGGGAAGAACTTGATAGGCGGATAAAAATGCCAAATCCAGTCTAAGCATCTGGCTGGCTGGGCGACCAACCATAATCGTAATTTACTAAATTTACATTCTGGGCAGTTTACAAATTGTTAAAAACCTTGAAAAACGAGGGAACCACACAACAGCCAAAGGAGCAAAGAGAACAAACCCAGATGGGAACAAAGAAAAGGAAGACAATGGTGCCCCCTCCATGAACCACAGTTAACGCCAACCCGGTTTTAACCAACCTGGCTAACCTGCTGCCTGTTTAGCCATACAGGGCCACCAAGAGAGACCTTGTGGAGAAAGCGTTCCGTGCCGGCGACTTTGAAATGTCAGAAGAATTTTAATTTCCTTTTATTTTAAATCATCTTAAAAGCAATTAAGGCTCGTTACCGAGGTATAAATGAGGTTCAGCCGTGCGGATGTGGGTCAATTTCTCCCTCTCTCTCCAGATACTGGATCCTGGCATCACCCAGTAAAACTGACCAATTCTGGGTTAGATAAAAGCAAAAGATCCTTCACACTGCACTGAATTGAGCGGGGGAACTCCCTGCCGAATAACGCAACCCCCCATTTTAACTGAGAGTAGCCAATTTGGGAAAGATGGGCTAGTGATGGTCACTGGTGACATGGCTATCTGTTACTCCCCGTAACTCTGGTTAGGGCTTAGCTGGCTATACAAACCTGTAACCGGATTATTCCAGCAAACCACCATCCAACGATGGCTTAGTGTGACCCGCGAACGAGGCCAGAGATGGGGGGTCAAGCTGACCTGCCAGGAGGACGTTCTCAGCCCTGAGACCGTGGGACAAAAGGCCCAGTGGCTTAAAGAAAGAGCGAATACCGTAGAGGGAAAACGTGTTGAAAATAAAAGGGAAAGACGCACGAACGCACACACACCCAAACCCGTTTCTTCCCCTTTCTGCAGCAAGACATCCAGGGCGCTACCCTTGCTCCAAACGAATAAATAAAATACACAAAACCGGAACGCTGCCCGGGAATCTGGGTTGGTCTCGTTCCTCAGACGCGGGTCCGACGCTCGTTGGGCGACCGCAAGCTAAGCGCGAGCCATCTCTGGGACTGTGGCTACCACGACGGGGGGGAGGAAGAAGGGGGCCCTTCCTTTACAGATGCGCCTCGCCGTGCGCCCCGCCAGCCGTCCCTTGCGACAACCGCACGGCGCTTCCTTTGCTGTGACATCCTGCGCAACGGGAGGCTGTGCCCGGGTGTTGCGGTTCGTTTCTCCCTAACTCCCCATCCGGATGAGGGTGGACGTCTCGGGTAATGCACGTTCCCTCGGCCAACCCACAAGCCCCTCGCCGGGCAGCGAGGGACCCAAGAGCGGGGGCCTTTCCCACCCCACCCCTTTGGCCCTGGAAAGGCCCCCTTCCTAACCAGCTTCACTCTTGCAACACGACAAACCCTGGTTGGTTTCACCCTGACCTCCAAAACAAGCACAGTTGGCTCAAACCCGATTTGGGAAGCCCGAGCTTCAAGCAAGCATGGCAGAGGGAGGAAAAGGAAGGATTTCCTTTTCCCCAAAGGATTTCCCCAAAGAAAGAACAGAATAAGTGCTGGCTGGGGGTGATGGGAGTTGTAGTCTGTAGCTACGTCCGCGTGGAGGAGGCTGCCCCGGCCCCAAAGGAGGGGAAGCAGGCAGCGGTTCTTAAGAGGACCCCGGGGGCTCCAACCCCCATTGGCCAGGAATGCTGGGTTCTGGAGTCCGATAAGAACTCGTTCCCAACCTTGTTTGAGCTGAAAGGTTGACCACGGAAAGGGCGACAGAAGAAGGAACAAGGAAGGAAATGTTTTAATTTTGCTCTGGTGGCCTGTAGCAAGTTCCCGCTCGCCCCAGGAGACTGGGAGGGAACAGCAAGCCCTGTGGTGTGGCAGGACCGAAAGAAAGACGTTGCAACTCAGGAAAAAAAAATTAAAAGGAAACAGAAAAGGAAACAAGGTGGCAATGTCTCTGGCTCTTTGTTTTGATTCTTTCGCAGACAGGAAGCTATTGTAAACGACTCGTGTAAACCATCACCAGAGCTATAAAAACAGTGAAAAACCA